AAGGTGGAAGGAAATAGGAAGAGAGGAAGGCCACATGCTCGATGGATGAGGAGGTCATGGGGTATTAAGGGGTTTCAGGAATTAAGCAGAGTAGTGGAGGATAGGGGGTCTTGGATGTCTCATCCATAGGGTTGCCATGAGTCGAGATCGACTCAAGGGCAGTTAACAACAACAACAAAAGTATTAAGAATGACAATGCTGATGTATTAGTACTGTCGTTCTCAATCTTTGTGACTCCAGATATGTGTGTGTGTGTGTGTTCAGTTGCCTTCTATATTTGTGGCTTTGACTTTCGCAGGTTTGATTATCTGCAGTTTTGATTAATATGTTCTTCCTAGGAATTTCTAAGTCCTCCAGTACATCTCTGCCAGAAGCTGACCATGGAGTTGTGTTGGAGAACCTAGAATTTCCTAGAGAAAACACTTCTCTAGGCATTTGTAGGTCCTCCAGCATGATTCTATGATCAACTTCTGGTAGATATTGACCATAGAGTTGCACTGGAAGACCTAGAGATTTCTAGAGAGATGTTCTTTGGTAAAAAGAATAGTGTTTTTTTATTCCTGGTTTTTTTATATTCATGGGGGTCCTTCACCCCTAACCACAGCAAATGTGGAGGGACCACTGTATATTACTAATATGTATATATTACTATTGTATTGAGAATACAATTAATATTGTATTACTGTAGTATCATTGTGCTTCCAGATATATATATAAAACGCATATATATTTGCGCTTAATAATAGTTTAACTAATAAAAGATACTAATACAGTGTATATGTGCATATATATATATATATATATATATATATGCATTCCAAATAATAAAAGATACTAATAGGCACACACACACACACATATATATATATATATATATGCACTTTAAATAATAAAATATACTTATACGCACTTCAACTAATAAAAGATACTAATATATATACATATATATATACATATATATATATATATATATATATATATGTATATATGCACTTCAACTAATAAAAGATACTAATAAAAAAGTACAGTTTATATAGATATAGATATATAGATATATAGATATATATGCACTTCAACTAATAAAAGATAGTAGTAAACACACTTTACACTTCAACTCCCAGAATCCCTGCTCGTTCTCCCCACTGGCTGGGGTTTCTGGGAAATGAAGTCCAAAAGAAAAACAACACATCTCTGCGGTACTCCACTCCACTTCAGCCGAGCTAGGCGCCAGTCTCCTCTCCTCAGGACTACACTTCCCGTCATGCCCGGCACGTTCCCTCCCTCCATTTCCCTCTTTCCCCTGACTCCTCCTCCTTCCCTTCCCTTCCCGATACGGAAGCCTAGAGGCGTTCTTTTTCTCCTTCTTCCTCCTGCTACTACTGCTGCTGCTGCTGCTGCTTTTCAGCCCAGGGTAGCGCTGGGCCGGGAGGGCCTCCCAGGCGGGCTGGCGGCGGCGGCAGGAGGAGGAGGAGGAAGGAGAAAATGGCGGCGCCGCTGCTCTCCCTCTCTGAGGGGGACGGCGCCCGGGCGCGGCGGAGGGAACAGCTCCGAGCCTGGGCAGAGGCTGAAGCGGCGGCGGCGGCAGCAGCGGCGGCCCCGCCTCCCTCCGGCTCCGCTCCTTCTCCTTCTCCGGTGTCCGGGATGGGCTCCGGGGATGGCGGCGGCCCTCAGTCCCTCCACCTTCGCCGGCGGCGGCGTCCTCGCGCGGTCCGCTTCGACGCCGCCGCCGAGTTCCTGGCTTGCTGCGCCGGAGCGGAGTTGGAAGCGGCGCGGGAGATGCTGGGCGCCGACCCCGGGGCCGTGAACGGGACCAACGCGGACGGCATCAGCGCCCTCCACCAGGTACACCGCCCGGGCCCTGGTTGGCGGCGCTGGGGCTGCTGCCTGTCTGCCTGCCTTCAGGTCGTTTCTGGCTTAAGGCCAACCACCTATCAAGGGGTTGTTTGGTTGGCAAGGTTTCCTCAGAGGGTGGTTTGCCATTGCTGCCCTCTGAGGCTGAGAGAGTGTGACTTGGCTGAGCAAGGAAGCACACTACAGTACCCTTTGCGTATGCCGTCCCTTGGGATTAAAGAGTTACCTCTGACACTGAGGTAAATGCCTCTTTCATATCCAGAACTCTGACACTTTTAGAGATAAATGCCTCTTTCATATCCAGAATTTATCATAGGGTTTTCTTGGAAAAATTTCTTCAGAGGGTGGTTTGCCATTGCTGCCCTCTGAGGCTGAGAGAGTGTGACTTGGCTGAGCAAGGAAGCACACTACAGTACCCTTTGCGTATGCCGTCCCTTGGGATTAAAGAGTTTAGAGATAAATGCCTCTTTCATATCCAGAACTTATCATAGGGCTTTCTTGGAAAAAATTCTTCAGAGGGTGGTTTGCCATTGCTGCCCTCTGAGGCTGAGAGAGTGTGACTTGGCTGTGACATGGCTGAGCAAGGAATCACGCTACAACACCCTTTGCATATGCCGTTCCTTGGGATTACCTCTAACAATTTAGAGGTAAATGCCTCTTTCGTATCCAGAATTTATCATAGGGTTTTCTTGGAAAAATTC